CTATCTATCTATCTATCTATCTATCTATCATATTTATATAGCTGCCCATCTCATACAAGGTGACTCTGGGCGGCGTACAACAATTAAAAAATACATAAAAACAGCTTCATATAAAAAAACAGTAAAAACACACAAAGCAGGAGGGGATAAAATTAATCAGGGAGCCATCATAAAATCTCCCGGGTCCCCTGGGAGCCCCAGGCCTGATCACATGGCCAGGCCTTGAGGGACTTACGGAATGTTAAGAGGGATGGAGCTAATCTCACTTCCTGGGGGAGAAGATTCCACAAGGCAGCCACCACAGCAGAGAAGGCCTGCCTCCTGGGACCCGCCAAATGTAATTCTCAGCAAAACAATTAAAAAAAATTGTGAATATAAAATAAATCATGATTCAGTTCTAACCTTCCGTTATCAACGTAAGAGTCTAAACTACCTTACAATAATTGCTTATATACAAAGGTAATACTGCTGTAGGAATTTTAAGGAATGCTGTGCTCATCACAAGGCCAATTATAAGGGTGACCATCTAAGAACCCACCATATTTAAACAGCGGAAAGACAACTTGATCCATATTTCACAGGCACATTACCAAATGTTTATAGTGCAAATTAGCAAGGCAAGGTAAAATACCATGAATATTCAAGTATTTAAAAACAGAAGAGGCAGAATCACTATTTTATAGTGATAAGGTATTGGAATATTATACCCTTTATACAATAAAGGGGCTTTATTGGTTATTGCCAGTTTGTTGTAAACCAACACAGTAAATCTAGACAGTGCAGAGAGCAAAGGTCTTTCAGCTCCATTCCTATCACTCACAGACATGAGAGAGGTACGCCTGTTTTTGGGCATCCATTCTGTCTCCCCTGTTTCACTGCACATGTTGAATATTCATGGAAGCAGGCTGCCTTTTTCTAGTTTCCATGCAAGCTTGGGGAAAAAACAAACAAACATTGTGGCTGCTTTAATGAACAGCGAAGAGATGCTGTCAGCACAGAAGGCCCAAAGCAATTTTCAAGGAATGTGCAGATATTGAATGTATCTGTGCAGGAACATCTTGAAATATTTCAGTTATCAGTCCCATCAGTTAGGTGGTACAATGATAGACATCAGTGTTTTTAGCAAGGATAGCCTAGAATTCTTACCTCAACATCCTTTTTAAGTTTTTCAAGGAACATCTTTTTGTTGGCTTCATCAATATAAATCTTTTGACCATCATTGATGAAGTCATTGTCTTTAAACGTTGGGAGTTCTTTGGCCTAAGACAGACAGACAAATAAAAGCCATTTCAAGACAATGAAGGCAACAGAATAATGAAACATCAGTTGTCTGACCAGAGTACAACTAATCATGCAGAGCCATCAAAAATGCAAAATAATAGCCACGAGGGGGCATTACAGAGCTATAGCACCAGAGTACACTGTACCATTTCTAACATAATGTAGATACAAAAATACTAGCATCTTATTTTCCTCTTTCATTAAGACAGCCCTTGTTTGTTTTCATAACTCATATGCTTACATTAAACCATAAAATATTCTGATCTATAAAATCAATGTTTAATGCATTTCACTATTTACTAATATAAATCCCCTAAAAATTAGGTGATGATCTAACAACAAAACCTGTTTTACATTGCAGGAACTAGCAAGAATGGCTGCAAATACATCACTGATAAAACATCCTGCAAGTAACAAAACAGGTAATCCTGTTCAGAGACCTTTCTAAAATCTGTGCTATCAGTTCAGGAGCAGGTCTGAGGCTTAAGTTCTCCCCAATTTACCATGATAATAGAAGATGCAACAATATTGTTCATGAAAGACTCAAAGTGATGAGCTGTTAAACTGATTTTAAGTCGTGCTTAGGGATCACTATTCATAAAATAATTATTTTCTTGTGCATAATTTTGTGCAAGGAACCCCAAGCTGGACCTTAAGACAAAGAAGATAAAGAAAACAGAGAGATGTAACTATGAATCAAAATGTTAAGGGACTAATTAGACATCAAGATAAGTTGTTATAAAAATATTTGTGCTTGAAATACTTATGAAGACTTTTGAAAAGATGTCCACAATGGTAAAGCCAACCTGACCAGGGCAATGACAATGAAGTATCAGTGACTAGCTAAAAGCTATTATCAACAAAGCTTTAATCTGAATTTCTACACTGAGAAAAGGCTTAGACCTTATGGCCTAACTGCCCATTCTAGCTCTATGATCGCATGAAAAATATTTTAATGTGCAACAATGTACTGATGTACATTTCACACAATACAAGAAGGAAAGAGGGGAGGGGAAGCTGTGGAAATATATCCTCTAAGAGCTAATACTTGGTACAACAGAAATGCTAGAAGACTCAAGAAATTGCTGTTTATTTGTTAGAGCAACAGTTCCCTCACTAGCAAGACATTCAGATAACCAGCCACAAATAACTGTACTGTAACAGTTGTGTGTTTCACAGTATAGAACTCCTATGAGAGACTGAGAACTACAAGGTACTCCAGATTACTCATGCATAATCTACAAAATTCACTGTAGAAATTAAGCAAAGAAAAGTCAAAGCATTAGCTGTCAGAATTTAATGATTGTAGAAGCCTATCGTTCTTCTCTAACCCAAAAAGAGAGTACGTTCAAATACATGTTTTGATAAAGTCAATGTTATTACTGTCAAACTGTCACAATGTAAGGAAAACGTTCATCATGGTCAGAAGTAAAACAGTTGCTAAAGTTTTCCTACAATCATTTGCACAACAGTTTGCACAGCACCATGACTGGAAGTTGATTTTGGGTTTCCACTTCACAAGCAGGTCATCATTTTTGGATTCAGTTTAACTGGTTCTTTCACAACACTCAGCTCAGCCTTCTCCAACATGGAACAAGTGCTGGAACAAGAATCCTGATCATGTTGACTGAGAATTCCAGGAACTGTGATCCAAACAGATCCGGACAGAACCAATTTGGAGAAAACTATTCTAGGTCAGTATGAAGACTTTTGAAGCCATAGTTAGCTTTAGAAATCTTGACATTAAAGCATTAGTGTAAAAATGGGACCTGTCCCCATTAAATTGAAAGGAGTTTGTTTTTAATCTACAGCTTCTGAATTTTAGTACTGTTGCCAAAACTTCTGAGGAATTTATTTCAAACCTATAGTCTGAAATAAATATTTCCCATTCTCAACACTATCAAAACTGCTTTCATTGACAATAGCTGGAATAATTTATTTATACTTCATTCTTCAGCAGGTTCCTAAGAAGGCTTACAAAAAGTTAAAGTTACAACCTAATGAAATCTGTAAGATTTGATTAAAGGGAAATCATAATGGATGCAATCTGCCACCAGTAAGAAATGGATCCCTATGTATGTTTGGTTTTAATTTGAGTTCAGTGCGTCTTATGGCAGTTAAGCAGGCATAGAATCGCACCCAAGAAGGCTGCCAAGAATAATATTCCACAACTAACATACATTTGCTCTTTCTTACAAGTTGAAGGCAGATGACTAAGTATGTAAATATAACTTTGCCACACCTTTTCTTTGTCACTGGCTTCTCTCGCTACTGTTGAACCCTGAAAGAAAAACACAGCACATTTTGTTAACTAGAACAATACTGAAGGACAGAATTACAGTAAGGTTTTCATCGTTAGCCTAATAGAATGTATTCTAAACTCACTCAGATTATTATATTATGAACAAATATAAAACTACAATTCAAACAGTCTGGATTAACATAGATAATAACAAAAGAAAATTCTCTTTATGGAGATTTGGATTTTCTTGGCCCTATTACTATTTTCTTCTATTATACTACAAGCATCTGGAGTCTATTAGCTACTAACATGTCAGCCATAACCATTCCTGAATAGAGGAAGTGTGTCCCTGTTCTCAATGCTCTGGTAAAAACCACACATAATTACTGTAAACGATTACATGCATTAACCTGCTTCTGTATATCTCTCTTAAATTTCAGCCAGTTCAAAAAATGAGAGTTTTAGTGGTTTTCCATATACCTCTGGAAGGAATTTAAAGTACTGGTATGAATAAAATAGTTGTTACCTTGTTTTACAATGTGTGGACAGGTGTGCACATATGTTTAAGCATGTATCTACCCACCCCCCGTCCCCCTCCCTGGATTACTCTGAATTGTAACTCACTTTCAAAATGGTGTATAGTATGTATTAAAAAAAAATTAAACATACATTTTATTGTAAAATGAATCCGAATTATTAGAGATCAATTAACCAGTCAAATACGTGTCAAATATTTTAAAGTATTGATATGATGGGAGGATAGTGAAATTTAATATTTTATGCTAATTAAGAATTGCAGCTTTGAAAATTAAAACAATAATACATTTACTTAAACTAATATATTTTTATTTTACTCTTATCCCAGCTACCAAAAACACATATAGATCCTCCAGTATTAGGCACTCATAGTCATACTGGGTGTATGAAGTTCCCAAAAGATACCCAATGAGCTTCACTGTTGAAAAAGGAATGGAAATACTTTGTGCTAATTTGATTTGCCAAGTACTAGGCTAAAACCTCTAATATGATAGCATATTGTGAGATCCCATTTGGAGATGTTATAAGCAGGTAGCGAGTGGCAAAAATTTCTCATTTAATCTTGCTCACAAATGGCATCATAATAAAGTTCAAAAGATAAATTGCCATTTTCCCACTGGCGTTTTTGGAGTACAGTTTTTTTTTTTTTTTT